CACCATACTCTGTAGCTGTGTGAAGGGATGCTGCATTCCCTCACATGACAGATRCCAGCAGATCAGCCCTATGCCAGCCATGTTCATGCATGCTGCAATATGCCTCTCATACGTTCAGAGGTAATTACTGACCTGTACGTCACCTGAACCTCCTCTCCAGGTTCATCCTTCTCCCAGATTAAGGCCACTTTGTCCGGGGCTACATGGACRTGACGGTCCAGACAATTCACTGGAAAGGAAAACCCAGCATCACTGACAGAGCAATCCTCAGTACCTCTTACCTTTCCTAAAGCCAGCACTGGCAGCCCCCTTTGCAGGTCAAAGTCAGGRCTGTGTGTGAGTCTTCCCAATATTAGCCTTGTGCAAGCTTTGTGGATACCAGCCAGGAGATCACAAGCACCATCCCAAGCCCATTACATTCCTGACCACTCTAATACCTGCCAATCCTTACTGTCAGCTTCCTCCTTAACTGCGACCTCATGCAGTCCAGAGCACGAAATGCCGACAGTCCCTGTGGAGGTCACATCCTCCGTGCMGTCAGACTGCCTGACAAACATTAACTTAAGCTGTCAGTCCACCCAGCACTGCCTTGCAGCAGCCTTTGGGGTGAACTGGGGCGTTTTTTTMGTGGCAGTGCTCCTAAATAACAAATGTAGGAGAGAGTGAAGCTGAGCACTGGAAGGCTGCAGAGTGCATTTGTCCAATATGGAAGAGAGCCAGGGTAAATACAGAGTGCACAGCACCTGGCTTTCCAGGGACATTGTAAGCTGAGGCTTTGGCTGTAGTTCTTCCACTAAAAGTTTCCCAGATTGCTGGCAGCTGTAGTTTCCTCGGAAGCCTTGTTCCGTTCTGTGTTTTCCTTAAACCTGCTAAAGCTGAGGTCAAGTCTGTGTTTTCCTTAAACCTGCTAAAGTCATGGGATGATGCAGCAGCCCCAGTTTTCATACCAGCTTTTTTCTCCTGACCACTTGCAGTTTCCCAGGAGAGAAAGAAGTGCACATGAAAGGAGGAGCAGTAAGATGTCAAATCTGAAAGGGAAGTAACTCTTGCTCTCTTTCCCAAACAGACTACATAACACATTATTTTCTCAGAGGTCAGTCTTGTATTTTGAATGTGGGGACCAACAGCACTGTGAGCAGGACACRGTGTCACAATCCCTGTGTCTTCCCCTGATAGCCCCCCTAAGGCAATAGCTCTAGTCCACAGAAGAGCTCCCATGACAGTGGTGACAGTGTGGCTCATTGCTCCTGTACTTTGCCTTCCACAGATACATCTTGCCTTCACTGAGCAGGAATTACCAGCTGCAGCCCTGCCTGCTGAATGCRCGGGGCTCGGTGTTATTGCCCGTGGTCACGCAGGACAGAGCTGCTCCTCTGCTGTGGGACCCAYAGAGGCTGAGGGAGAGCAGCCCAGCTCCCAGCACACACACTCCAGGAAACCCTGTTGTGTCCTTAGGGCTAGCCACAACCTTACACTACTGCCACTGCAGGACTAACTGGACCTTTTGGGGTCCCTCTCTCTCTGGACTTTGTGCTCTTCTGCTAAACTCCCAGGGCTGAAGCCACACACACAGAGAAGTACCTGCAGGCACTTGATAGGATCCCATGTCCGTCCCCCTTCTTACCTGTCACATTCAGCTGCCCACCCAGGAACCAGGAGACTCTGCCCTGGCACAAGTCACAGTCCTGGACAGAGTGGAAGGGGGTGATCCAGGTGAGCCGGCTCCTTCCTAGTGCTCCCCAGAAGGTGTCACTCTGCTCCACTGACACCTTATACAAATCTTGGTGGTCCTTGGGTCTGGGGAAGGCAATGGCTTCTGGCATGTAGGCAGTGAGAGGCCCRTGTCTCCAGGCTCTGGCAGACACCAACCCAGGAGGGCATCTGGGAGCCTGAGAAAGAGCTTTGAAGCAGCAGGTCCTGGCCAGCAGCCTGGCCATCACTGCAGGGTAGCTGCCTCTCACTGAGGAGAGGGGTGCCTGCAGCCCTTGCAGCTGCTCAGGACACTGGACAAGGCTAAAGCCCCTGGGGAAGGTGGGGCTGCGTTGTCCTGGCTGACTGGACACTAAGCAGCTCTCACACAGGGTGCCCAGGCACCCCTTCTGCCCTGCCTTGTTCCTCTCCTCCTCTCTTCCAGAGCACGATGGGAAAAAAGAAATTCAATCGCTGTAAGGGAGGGGAAAGGGGTGGGCTGTAGAAATGTTTGACTGAAAATAACCTTCATGCTAATCTGAGTCCTGACAGCAGTTCTTGAACAGGAGCCAGGTTAAGCGTGTGCCTGGGCTCCCTTCAGGGGCCAAAGTGCCTGGGCCAGGCTCTGACAGCCTGCCTCTGCTCTCCCAGGGCTGTGCTGCATCCTCAGACCCCTCTGTTTCATCCCCACTCGCCTCCTTCACACCTCCCTCTATTCATGCCCATCCCTTCAYTTGCTGCAGCTCCCCCACTGCATGCCCAGTCCCCTGCTGGCCACAAAGGCAATTTGGGGCAGTTCGCTGGAAATCCTGGGGTCACCCCTATGCTTGTCATGACTGATGGGATCATCCCCTTCCCAGAATTACCACCCATTTCTGGCAGAGCACTAGGCTGTGGTGGGCCAGGGAAGGTGCAGGAGGGGAACATTGCCCCCCATCCCACCTTACTGCTGCTGGCTTTCAGAGCTGTCCCCTCTGGCAGGCTGAGCTATTCTCTCTGCCTCCCCCCAAGCTCCACGGGCTGGTCCTCCGGCTGGGCTGGGAGCACTCAAAGAGGCCATGGGGGAGCAGCTGAGGGTGGTTTGGCATGAAACACTGCAGCCCATCTCTTCACGCTGAGACCTCCCACCACCCAGTGCAGCAGAGCTAAGCTGCCTCCCTGCCTCCAAACAACCTCTTTTTCTGCCTTCCTTTCCTTCAGGCACTATATTCTTTAAGGTAGAATTTGGACGATTCCTTAATGTTATTGACCAAATTCCCTTTCCTAGGGGGCACAAGAGAAAAGCAGAAAAAGGCTTTCCCTGCAGTAGGGTTGTTCTCAGCCAGGCACACCTAAGGAATCAACAGTAGAGGTGACAGGGTTAATAGATCTCCTCTTTGCTCTCCAAGTGCAGCACCAGTCACGATCTGTGGAGCTGGTATGTTTGGTGAGCAGGCTGGACACCCCTATGGGAGACAGGCACTATTTCCCGTCAGGTACACTTATCCCAGACCACACACCTGTATCAAAGCTGCCTTGGGCTTGGTGGGAACCTACAAGGGTGCTGTGCCTCTGGGGACAAACAGTCCTTTGGGCTAACAACCCCTCCACAAAGTCAGGCCCAAGCAGCCTCAGTCTCTTATTTCCTATGCACGCCTGCTCTGTCTCAGCATTTTTCCCATCCCTGTAAGACATTAGGTTTTTCCACCAGACTATTCCAAGTTACTCTTAACAGGGCAGGAAACTCCTTCTCTGGTAACTCAGAATAGGCTCCCATCACTCTCAAATTGGAGCTCACCTTGCTGGAAATCCCATGGGTGTCCTTCCCTCTCAACGAGCTCCCCTGCACTCGCAGCATCTGGCTGCTGCCCCAGCTCCTCAGGCCAGCTGGGCTCTGCAGCCCGTTCCTGGCAGAAGCTGAGCCTGCCTGGATATCTGTCCAACTATCTAATACCAGGGCACACATGATATGGGGTGACCCAAAGCACCAGGGCTGCTCTGGATGCTGAAGTGACTTGTTCTCTCATCTGCTGTATGGYCCAAGTACAAGCACACCCCTTTCAGTTTTGTCTTTCACTGCAAAGAGAGAGACCCAAGCCCCATCTTCTCCATGCCTTGGTGAGGAGGAAAGTGCAGACCCCTGGTCCACTTTGGATCTCTCACCTGTCTCTGGCTACAGCATGACATCCAACTCCCTCTCAGCTTTGGCTGAATTGGTGACTGGACTCATACACAGTATTCCCGTTTAGTTTTATTCTTCATATCTTTACAGAAAATGGCACATAAATCACAGATGCTGGATGACTAGAAGTTGTTACAGCTCCATATCTCAAACACCTCAATACTGAATTATTTTCTCACTGTATATACATTATTTACACTCCATGGGCTATCATCTAACACGTCAAACGACCGGGGAACAAAGACAAACAGGGGTTGGATGACTGRGCTTAACCTTTGACGGAAGGAAAACATTTGCTCTGGGGAAAGTGTGCTCACAGCTGAAAGCAGGACAGAAAGGATCACCCGGAAATCACTGTCCTACGGCTTTCGGAGGGGGAATAGTGCCTTACTGGGATGGGAAGGTGATGGTACCATGGAGTCAGTTTGGCTGTGTGGATCTGTATGTGCTCCTATGGGATGTATGTACATGTTACAGGGTGTATCAGGGTGGATGTGCATGGCTGTCATTCCCTTTAACACTCAGAGGGTGAGCTGGACAAATTTAATTCAATAAATACATTAGGTGGATGTTGTTGTTTCACCTGCAATAATGTATTCAATAAATAAATTCACCGTTCGTCCCCTCTGCAGGGGTGTAGGGTTTTGGTGTTTAGGGCAGAATCAGACCCAACTGTCCAGCCCTGCAGGAGCCAGTGACACAGGCTGGGGTTGCCTCAGGGTGCCAGGCAGACCCAGGTGTCATGCCTGTGAGCTAAACCTGCCTCTCCCTGCCAAAAAGAGGCAAAACATAACTGCTTTAAAGCTGCAGTCCCCTCCCAGCAGGCCTCACTGCTGGGCAGGGAGAGATGGATGGAAGGTAGAACCACCCTGGATGGATAGTCATCGTTTCATGCAAGCACTGCCTCGGGCTTGTACTGCTGCAGCCGGGGCCAGAGGCAGAGGTGGCAGCCAGGGGAAGGTGGCGGGTCTGCCTGGGGCACGGTGGGACAGGGAGCGAGGAGAAGGAGCCTGGAACAGCCCTRGGCAGAGATGTGCACCAAGGAGAGGCATGGCAGCAGGGAACAGGCTTGCTTCAGGGTGACAAATGGGATTTGGGGCTGCAGCAGAAGGAGAAAACCCCAGAGCCAGTTGTGAGGCTGAAGGGACCAGAGCCTTGGTGTTACTGGTGGCAGTGATGATGTGACACTTCCCGGTCCCCCAAAAGAAAGRGGTGGGGATGAGGAAGGCCTGGTGGGGTGGAGGAGCGAGGGGCAGGGGTATGCTCAAGGGGAGCAGGCAATGGACACCCCTGCCAGGTAGCCCTRAACACAGAGACCAGGGCCCCTCTCCCTGGCAGGGGTGGCCGGGGAGGCCTAGCAGTCCAAGGGGGAACACGGCCCCAAAGGACACAGTGTCTGTCGGGGCTGGCTTCTGCCACCTCTCTTCCCCCTAGATCAGCTTCTCCTCTTTCTGCGACGAGTTCAACTTCTCCGTCTGTCTCTCATCCTCTGCCACTGCTGCCTCCTCCCCTGTCTCCGGCTTCCTGCCTGGGGCTGGGCTGTCCCCGGCAATGGTCCCCAGGACTTTGGTGCTGTGCTCCTGAGCTTTAGCCCTGAGGGCAGCAATGCTGTTTTCTCTCAGTTCCTCCTGGGAAATGGTGGTTTTGGGATCCGGACCCCTTTCTTCCTTGTCACCTTTGTCAAGCTTGGGCAGGGCCTGGCGCTCCACCTCTGTCTTCCTCCCCGCCTCAGCCGCTGCCTCCAGAGACTTTTTGTGCATCCCTAAAAAGAATTGTTGGTATTCGGGTTTAGAAAAGCGCCTGGGCATGGGAAAGCCATCTTGAACTGAAAACAGCAAAGATAAAGAGAGGCCAGAATTAAGGAAAAGCAGAAACCCTCGCTTCACACAGCAGTCACAGCGAGCCACTTGCTCCGGCGCCCGCGCGAAGGCAGCCCAGGCAAGGCAGCTGCCTGCTTGGGGCAGCCTGGCATCTGTGGGCTGTGGCTGGTCCCAAAGATCTATAATTACTCTCCCCTTCATTTCTCTCTGTGAAGCTGAAGCTAACTTGTCCCTGCATGGAGATGAGGGTCTCAGACAGCAGCACGGTTGCCTGAGCTTCACCGAGGCTGGGGAGGGAGATCCCTCATTACCTATTTCTGTATCAAACCACAACCACCCCTCTGCCTCTCTCAGTTTCACACAGACAGAAGGACAGGACAGCCTGTCATCAAGATGCCAGACACTAGTTTTGGGGCAGAACCAGCTTGAAAGGTCAGAGAGGGAAGCAAAGAGCAGGAGTTGTGACATGGTAGCTGCTACCTCCATGCCTGCATAGAAAACCAGACAGAAATGCAGCTCCCCCAGGTGTCATGAGCAGGAGGAGGCAGCAGGGTGTTCCACCTGGAACTTGGGGCAAAGACAGAGCATTTGGGGGTCCTAGCACCCCACCCAGCATCACAGGGCTGGAGGAGTGAGACTGGGATGATCTCCTGCCTTGGGCAAGGGTTGGAACCCCTGCTCCAGAGCTGGGCATGAAGGATACTTGAGCCAAAGAAGGGAAGGTTGGCACCAGCTTGAACTTGGGGGCAAATTCATCTCCCAGCCAGATTCTGCAGATCAAGATCCAAGGTCCAGCAGGAATTTAGGATGAGTGGTCAAACCCTATTGACAAGGGTCCTTGGGGGATGGAGGTATCAAGGGTGGCAGGATGGGTAAACCCTGCCCTGCTGCCCTTCACTTATTTTCAACATTACTCTGATTTCTTCCTCCCATCCCCTTTACCCATTTGCCATCCCCCACGAAGGCAGCTGCACTCTTACCCAGGAGCCAAGGGGCACAGGACTCCATGATGCCATCCTTGGCAGACTTGAGGATGGATTCAGGCAGCGGGATGGAGTGACGCACCATGGCACCGTAGAGCCCGTACTCAGCCATCACACTGCTCCTGCCCCAGCACTTCTCCCTCTTCCGCCACTTGGCCCGGCGGTTCTGGAACCAAACCTGCAGCAGGTGACAAGGAGGGACATGTTTTTTGTGTATGGAGAAGGCATGGCAGCCCCCTTCCCACATGGGAACATGCAAGTACTTGTGCAGCAGGACAAAAGCAGATGGGTGGGTACTTGTCCCAAAGGCAATATAGCCTCCTCCCTCATGCAGCAGACATTGGGGATCTCTCCCTCCCTCCCTCCCTCCCTCCCTCCCCTGAAGGGGTGGCAAGGGCCAAGTGTGAAAGCAGGTGCCATCCCTCTCTGCAGGATGTAATTAATTTGCCATTGCAACATCTTTTTTTCTAGTGGCTTTTGGCTCTTGTGTCTGGGATTTCTTTTATTATTTACTGTGTGTCTGAGCAGCAGTACAGGGCTGCAGGCATGGTACCTGCAGGGAGGGCTGGGATGGGGGTGGATGCTCCAGAGAAGGGGGAAGCTGCTCTGTGCGCTTTGCCCTGAATTCCCAGTTTGAAAAGCCCCTCATCTTCTCAGAAAATTGGCAGAATAATCTCTGAGCTGTGACCTGGGGGGCAGCGAGCAGAGAGGCGGGCAGCAGTGGTGGGGAGGGGGGTGATAACCGCAGAAATCTATTAGTGCTCTCGCTCCGATTTCCATTMCTCTTGTCTCCCTCGCCCTCCTCCCTCCCCGGCTCCCCTCCCTTCCCCCCGAGCAGAGGCATCAGCTTTAGATGAAAAATTGCTTGAGGTCTATTCAGAAGAAGGCAAAGGAAGAGTCAGCCCCAGGGGCAGCCCAGGCCTGATTGAAAAATAAGTTAATTTCAGTTTGAATCGATGGGCCTCAGGCACTGAAATATCACGGGAAATTAAAGCAGCTGGTCCCCAGGGAACCACGCCATTGACCTGCGCTAATTAATGCCATGGAGTTACCAGGCCCCTCTCCGAGAGGCAGTCCCTCCCTCCCCGTGGACACCCCAAACACCTCCTCATTTAACTAATTAGACTCACAGAAAATTGGGTGTTAATTTGTTTAGGATTTTTTTTTCTTTTCTATTTTTTTCCCTGCCTTTCCCGGAAAGTACACGGCAGAATGGAAATGAATGTCGGGGTCTCGCTGGCAGATGGATGCTCGGGGTCACTCCGCAATCTTCTCCGACTTGATTGCTTGATTAGGTCGTTAGCACATTAAAAAAAAAAATTGCTTGCCGTCTGGCGCTGGCCTGATGAGTGGGATGAGGCGGGAATCGCCTGGGTAATTTATCTTTTTATACTGCAAAGAATTTGATTTCAATCTGCAGATATATGGAGGTGCCTTTGACACCTGTTTAACATTACAGAGCTGACAGCTTAACCCTCTCTTGTCCCCATGCTCAAAGCTGTGGGGGAGCTCTGGCTGCAGTGGGGTGCACTGGGGGTCCGTGGGGACTGCAAGACTGATGACAGAGTGATGTCCTGGTCTCTGCTGGCAAGGCAAAATCATCTCTTCTACCTGTACAGAGAATTGCCCAGCACTGAAGCCTTATGGTGGGGACAGAGCTGCAGGGTAGGCAGGTGAGTGGCTTGCTAGCACTGGTGACAGCCAGCCTTGGCCATTCCCAGGAGMTCAGGCAGCCTGATCCCCAGAGAGCTCAGTGGAATGGGCGGGGTGGTGGTCCCAGTGGCTGTGATCCCAGCTTCTCCCAGCAGAAGACACTCTGTGCATGTCAGAGAGGATTTTACCAGGCAAAGGAAGGAGGCTGCTTCACCACGTGTCACCTCCTCTGCATGACAAACAGTCTGATTTACACTTTGATACTGCCAATCTGTAACCTCTGGATCACAGAAGGCTGCAAATCCTCCAGGGCCAAAGCAAAGACCCTCAGGAATGCAGAGCTTTCTCTCTTTGCCCTCTCCTCCATGCCTGTGTGAAACATGGGTTTGCTTGGCTGTGCAGTCAGCAGGGTGCTGGCAGAGGGTCTTGCTCCAGATCAAGCAATCGTCCACATTTTTTCTTGCCCTTCCCACCCTGTGGATAGGATCAGCTTTGGGAAATGCTTTACTGATGTGGCTCTGTACTATGCAACTTCCTTCTCCACTTGTTTTCATCTGGTTCTCTGTTGCACAGCCCAGGATGTGGAATAAAGACTGTGTGTTTGCTTCCACACCACATGGGCAGAGGTGAAACTTTCTGATTCATTTTAGACTGAAGCATGTCACATGTTTGTCACACTCCCAGAGCACAGGGTGCAGAGCTGCAGGTGCCTCTTTACCTGGTGCTTTCACCACTTTCTCTTCCTCCCTGCCTTGATGCCCCTCACATCTTCCCCCATGCCTCATGCTCCTCTTCCCTTTTCCCTGGCCGGGTCTCAGCCTGCCCCAGCCCTGCCCATTGCTACTGAACCTGCTGCCCTGGGGCATCCCCTTTTCCATGGCAGCATTACACAAATACTGGAGGCAGCAGGAGCTTTGCCAGCTGGCAGCCCAATTTTGACTAGAGCTGGTAGAAAAATTTCAATCAAAAAACACTGATTCAATCGCACAGGAAAAACTGTGTCCAGCCAGTGGAAGGGTAATCAAAATTATCTATGGCTTTCTTCTGAATGCTGTTTTTTAATCTCAGCAGCCTAAGACATGCAAAATCTATGCTTTAAAGCCAAATGAGAAAATCAAAATTACATCAACATCTCAGTAAGATCATTCTGAGATTTCCAAAACAAATTTTTGTCATTTGATGGAACTTTCCTCTTGGTTTTGGAGGAAATGAAAACTTGAAATCCCAGAATGTTTAGCAGAACAGAAATCAGGAAGACTGACCATCCTGCTTTAATACCAGGAACTATATCTTCATCTCAGGCATGAAATTAAGTGAAACCAGTGGTGCTCAATACTGAGTATTGCTGGGATCAGATCCTGGAGAAGCACCTCTGTCACAAGATCATCCTGAGGAACACTGAGTGATGAGCTCCAGCATGGCACTGGCAGCCCCCATGCCATTTCAGATCAGCAAAATTGTCCCCTGTGGCCTATTCTCATAATTTAGTCCTCATTTAGATTGCTCCATCAGTGGGGCTTTCATCTAGGAGAATACCTCACTGATTTCTTCAAATTTATCAGTGTGTTACCACAACTTTCACATGCCTTGATTCTAAGCTGAATTACACAGTGGTTTTAGTAATTCATAGGTATTTTCAGCTATATTGGTACATCAGTCACAACACCCAAATATGCAGTTATTTATTATTGGCACCTCACTTTTTCCTGGAGAGGGTTTCACCTTTTCACTTTACTCACCTTACACTTTCCTCATGGTTTTGGTATTCTTTGGCTGCTTATTGTGCTTGCCTGGAGATATCTACTCTACAGCTTCTTCTGACTCTGTAAGACTTGGTCTGCTTCAAGCAATGTCTAGATTTGTCCACATTTTTTCTTGCCCTTCCCACCCTGTGGATAGGATCAGCTTTGGGAAATGCTTTACTGATKTGGCTCTGTACCACACACCTTCCTTCTCACTTGTTTTCATCTGGTTCTCTGTTGCACAGCCCAGGATGTGGAATAAAGACTGTGTGTTTGCTTCCACACCAYATGGGCAGAGGTGAAACTTTCTGATTAATTTTGAATTTTTGGACTGAAGCATGTCACATGTTTGTGCAGAGCTATCACAATTTAAGGTGTCAAGGTGTCTTTTGGATCAATGTGCTACACCTTAAGAAGTTTGACACCTCTTCACTTTCACACAAACACCCTTTGTGAAATCTGGGGAGCTTGTTCCAGGAAGGCTACTCTCCAAAAAATGGACAACGGAGTAAAGTGGACACATTTGTCTTGCAGTATTGCTAAGTTTTATAAATGGGAATGTTTCTAACTTTATCCTCACCTAATTCTCACTTCCAGTGCCCATTGCCCAAAGCAATACATTTCAGGCACTCTGTAGTTGACAAAGGATTGTAAGTGTTTTGATTGGCAATTTTGGAGTCAAGACTAGCAAGGATAACCTTGCCAGTTTCCTCCTCTGAATCACAAATCACGACTGGTACTTCTTTGGATTACTGWTTATGCAGAAGAGCAAATTGTAGGAGGAGAGATCTCTCATTTTGCAAGGGGACATGGGACTCAACACGTCCTTGCTATCCACATTCATCATATTAGTTAGTTTGTTTACCTAATCAGAGCCTGAAACATTGTCTGCTAAAGAGAGAAATCTCCCTGAGCTTGGCCATAATCCAGAAATCTGAATTAGCAAAGGGGTATTTTAAAACATCTATGGTGTTACCGTGTATTGTTTCTGTATTGTTTCAGCCTAAAATTTTCCACTGGTAACACTCATTTTCTTAGCTGCTACTTTTCAAGATAGGTTACAAAGACGGGAGAATTGATATTGGATATTTTTTTGTCTTACTRATATATGAAAAAAAAAAAAAAAATCCTGCCCAAGCATTTCTCATCTATTAAAGAAAAATTCCAAGCTACATAATGGTGAATTTTTGCTTCAGCATATCTCTCATTTTGCCTTTGATATTCCAACAGGGGCCTTTCGGGGAGCAAGGTTTATGGAGCACAAACCGCTCCCAGCGCTCCCAGAGCCGCGCGAGCTGTGTCCACTAGATGGCCGCAGGAAGATGCGGG